AGGGCTTCGGCGTTGAGGTGGGCCTTGGAGGAGGGTGAGTGGGTGTTGGAGCACATGCCGGGTGTACAGTTGGTTGCTGATGGTTTCACCAAGCTTTTGTCAGGTCAGGCCTTTGGTAGCTTTCTGGTTGAGCTTGGTATGGTGAAGCAAGGCCATTGGGCAAACAAAAAGAGCCACTGGGCCGCCGAAGGGCACAAGAAAGGGATCAAGATCGCTAGGGAAGATGAACCAGCGACAGTAGGAAAGAAGATCGCTAGGGAAAATGAACCAGCGACAGTAGGAAGGCCTGACGGGGAAGAAGCCAGGAAAAAGGGCCTGAGAAGATTAGGCAGGGAAAATGAACCGCCTACAAAGAAGTCCAGGGCAGATGAACCGGACTCAATTTTGGAGGATGGCCGCGGAACCGCAGCCGTTTTGGATAGGAACCACTGCCCATCGGGCTGCCCTCCCAAACTAGGTGAAGCTCAGGCTAGGATCATGATGGCGATTGGTGCAAGCCTGGTGGCAAGGGCTGAAGGAGCCAGAGTTGGAGTGGAGGTCTCGGGCATGGAGACGATCGACATCATCATGGCGCTGGGAGGCATCTTGATGGCAATTGGGGCGGCGGTAGTGGCCAGGTGGACGGTCAAAGCTGCCAGCAGTGTCATGAAGAAGTTGTGGGTGGAGCCGCGAGTTGGCCGGGACGACTCAGGGGTGAAGCCGGCAAGAAAAGAGATCGACGAGGTCGAGGATCAGTGGAGCAGGAGTTGGTCGCAGGAGAAGGGGCTTGAGCGGCAGAAGCCAACTTCCATGAAGCTGATCGTCGATGGCATGGAGGTGGAAATCAAGAAGCAGGGCCAGAGGCTTGAAAAGGTTTCGGGAGCTGCAGGAAACATGGAATCGGCTGGATCAGGAGGTGGTGCAGCTGGAAGTGGAGAGGAGGTTTGCATGGAGTTTGGAGGAAGGGATGAGATGGAGAAGGAGGGCAGCAGTGCAACGTCATCGGGGGCACTGCGCAGGCCTTCGGTCAAGAAGTGCAACACGAGTTGGAACCAGTTTCAACACGACCATGCCGGGCGCGGCTGGTCCATGGACTTCATGAGGAAGAAGTACTACGAGGAGAAGTACAAGAAGGGGAGGTAGGTTTTTGGGTCGTGCCGGTAAATAACCCGGCCGGCGGAGCGGCACGGATGTGCCGGGGGGAGCCCGATGCTGTATCCGGGTAGCCCTTTTTTACAGGACTCAAGCGTGGCAAAACAAGCTGCGCTAGCAAGCAACCGAATTGATCCTCACTGCCAACAAGACTATTCAGTGAGAGATCAATAGTTTCACATCCGTCCCGCATGTACATAGCGTTGTACATCATCTTTTAGATACATCGAATCTAGGTATCTCACAGAATCAGTACAGACTGTTTTCCATTTTGCAAACCAAGACATTTCATCCGCGCAGAAAACAGGATGAATCCAGCATTTCAATACACATGGCTACGGCATAAATCAAGGCTACGGCCAAAGGCCAGGAAGCCAAAGATATTTCATATCTAGTGCTGGAGATCAAAAGAAATTTGTCTGTTTTGTGTTTGGTTTGTTGAACACTTGATCTCCTGCAACCTTTGGCTCAAGGCCCTTCTATTTCAATTGTACAGTCATCAGACGCATGGTACATTGATAAAAAAAGGCTTGCAGACCGCTTTACAGGTATAACAGTCAATCCAAGCCACCAGGGACAATCCACCCTCCAGTCATCCATATTGGCATATTGGACTCTCTCCGGAATAGATCCAGGGACCAAATAAACGACCTCTACTACCACAAGGTACCAGTTCCCTTCTGGGATAGGTACCCCCGGCAGTGGGCCTCACCCCCCCCCCTAACACAAACCCACAAACCGAACTCCCCCCCCACACCCCTTCCAGAACTGGCCCAGAACCCCACCTAGGTACGACGTAGGACAAGGCATGTGGGGGTGAGATTGAGCGGGCGGACACACCGTAATTTTAAGCGTACCGGGGAATTGCCGCTTCACGACTTCTCTCAGAAAATGTGCGAAACTGCTCCTAACATAATCATAGTTTCCGTATTGACCCCTGAAAAACAATATGGCAAACGACGAGCCTGCACTTCCATGTTAAGCACACGTGTTCTCCTTTACATGGAAGTGCAGGGCCCATTTCAGGTTCTATGTTAGGACACTTTCGTCGGTCAGAACGTGTGTTTTCACTCACGTTTTTTTGTTTACATGAAAGTGCAGGCTCGAAACCGGCCCCCCAAAGAATCTAGAGTTGTTTTGGGAAACCCCAGGATTGCCGTGGCGAGGGGCACCTGGCACAGATTCTATGTTAGGAGATGGTCGTACCTTCCCAGTAAAAAAAAAGAGGCATTTCCCCAGAAAAAGACGGTGAAGGGACTACGGACTTCCTGTTTAATTCCAGGGAGTGTATGGTTCAATATCACTGACCTTCCCAGCTTTGGCTTTGTATCATGACCACCCTACATTGCAAATTGCATGACCGTCTGTCAGTTTCTGAAAAGTTTCGGGGAGCTTCGATCACCCTCATCAAAACAACGATCAAAGACCTACTTCAATGCTCTTCGTGACAGGCTGTCCTAATCTCAAGGCGAAGCAACCTACTGAACAAATCTGTCATGTCAATCAAACTACTGAGCCACCTACTGGTCAACGGCGGTGAGAATGCAATCAACGAGCTCACATGCTAAAGCTTTGTAAACCTTCCCGAGCCAACCGAGCAATACCAACCCACCAGGTCATTAATTATCCCCGTCGGCTTCGCCTTCGTCCGTCTCCTGACGTTCCTTCCCCCTTCCTCTTCCCTCTTTACACCATTTCCCCTTCGGCCCCTTTTTGCTGACCTACTGGCCAAACCAAGTTAACAACTTTGTGGGCGTTGACTAAAATGACGAAGAAGCTTTGCCAACACAAAGCTTGGCTTTCAGTTGCCTCTGAATGGGGACACGAGTACCTCAAACATGGGGATACTTTCCCTTTGGTTTCCCTCTCACACGGCCATCAAACAGGGCACCCTCGAAAAACGCCGCACCTGCATGTGGTGTACCTTTCTTCAGGGGATCCCCCCCAAAACAAAACAACAACAACAAACATGGTGGGCGTTCCCTTTGTTTCCCTGTAAAACCACAAAAATGGGTACCCTGAAATACGAAGAAAAAACGCACCCATGTCATCCTCTGGCTGGTGAAGAATGACTGATGCTCACTCCTCACCTCGATCAGTATTCCTGGGCGTGAGCCGTTGCATCGCGCTAGTGCCTTCACAAATTGGATGCCGAATCAACTGCGGAGCTCGCATGTTCTTCTCACCTTTCATCACTCTTGCAGTGCATCACATTTCTGCTGTCCTTGCTGCAACAAACCGAGATTACGAGCTCAGCTGCTCTTGTACCTGGCTGCTGTCTGCGCTATCTTCCGGAACGGCAGTTAAAGAACCGCTAGTTGCGTGAAGGCTGGACGTTCCTCAGCTGCTTTTGCACCTGGCTGGCTGCTGTCTGCGCCAAATTCTGGATCACCCCAGGACACAACAGCCCCAGATTCAAGAATGGCGGCAAAGCGCCGATAGTTGCTTGCATGTGCTGGACGTTCCTCGTCTGCTCTTGCACCTGGCTACTGTCTCCGCCCCAGTCTTTACGACCCAGGTCACAACAGCCAGTTCCAAATGGCGGCAAAAGCGCCGATAGTTGCTTGGATTTGCTGGACGTTCCTCGTCTGCTCTTGCACCTGGCTAAGTCTTTACGACCCCAGGTCACATCAGCCCCAGACTCTAGAATGGCAGCAACAGCCTGGGCAGTTGCTTGGATGCGCTGGTCTTGCACCTGGCTGCTGCCTTCGTCGAATCCCAGGTCACAACAGCCCCATATTGCAGAACGGTGGCAAAGCACCGCCAGTTGCTTAAATGTACTGGCGTTCCTGAGCTACTCTTTTACCTGGCCGCTGTCTCCGCCCTTGTCTGCACGGCCCATGTCACCACGGCCCCAGACTCAAGAATGGCAGCAAAAGAACCCTCTAGTTGCGTGGATGTGTTGGACGTTCCTCAGCTGCTCTTGCTCTGGGCTGCTGTCTCTGCCCTGTGGATCACCCCAAGCCAACCGTGGCCCCCGCAGTCATGTGCCTTGCACGTGGCAGCCAGTTTCCTAGGTTGCACAACTGCACCCACTATGTCCCCATCTTAACCCGGCGTCGCTCGGCGTGTCTGCCACATCGATCTGCCGGCCTTTTGCTGTGAGCTTCAAGCGGCACTGGAAATGGTGCTGTGCTGCTTCAGGTCGCTGCGGGGCGTCTCTGGTAGGACTCCTTCGGAGTAACCATCTCTCAGCAAGCGAACATCTACCTTCATGGCGCAGGAGAGTTCGTCCGGGCGCTTTCAAGATGCCAAACATGAACCTGACACAATGGCTTCAGGTTCGGCGGAAATCAGTTCAACACGAACACGCAGGGTTCCCTTCCCATAACACACCCCGCTACCGGTTTCCCAAGAAGCTAGCTAAGGGACCAAACATGATGAGGACCCTAGCAAAACCAAACAAACATCAAAACCAACCTCTTGATCCTGGAAGGGTTCAGTCAATTTGACCCCGAAGGCTTCGACCAAACATAAGCCGCACTCAGATTCGACAAGGTCCAGGCCAAGCTTCTAGGTCCAAGTTTCCTAAGTTCGCCAAAAGGCTCGTGTCTCCCGAAGTTGGCACAAGAAATGATCACGTAGAGGACAGGTTGAAAGCGCCGCCACTGACCACATCATTGGTTCACTGTGTGTGTGTGTGTGTGCGCGTGTGTGTGTGTGTGTGGTGTGTGCGCGACTCTTGTTGAGGGTACGCTTGATTCCACAACAATTGCAAGTAGGGAACAGCTGAAACCTTCTCATTTACGGCCAAGGATCCGCTTCTTTTGTAGTTGGATATGCGCATTGGCAACACGTCCAAATTCCACTGTGCGTGCCCTTTCTGGGTGATAGTGTTCGAGGAAAAGCGTTCCCAGTCTCTCCGGTGCCTCAATGATCTGCTGGCGACTGTACTTCCGGAAGTCGTATTGGTACCTGTGGCCGGCTGCAGTTGGACACGTCTCAATCCACGCAAGGGCATATCGGTATGCGTGGGAGGGGACCTACAAAATGACCCTCTAAACCAACCTGAAGACGACAACCTCCAGAACTAGACAAAACATACATTAATATGTCTCCCGGTGGAACGGGGTTCCAGCCTGGCGGGGTACATGCTCATCACCGAGTCTTACACCAGGGTACAGCAAGGGTATGACTTAACAAAGGGACAATTGTGCCATCTACTTCCACCCAACTGCAAAGCGGCTTTCCGAAAACAGCCACAAGCCACGAAGGCAAGCAGTGGGGAGGCGGGACCTGGGTTTGTGAGGGGCCAGAGTCTTGCTTGTCTGAGCTTTTCAAGCAATGCGTAGTTCAAAGCACAAAATTGTCTTGATCGTGCTAAGTTAGAATCGACGCATGGACGGGACCACTTTGTCTCGAACACGGACGACGCCTCACCACTTTCAACGCTCAGGGTCTGGAAATGCCGAGAACCCAAGGGGAGTTTGCCCTGAGGCTTACCCGGATTCCCATCCGGGCATGGCGTGACGATGGTTTACTCGACGGCGGACGGCGCACCCCAGGCTCTCGTCTTCGGAGTCCTCGGCTCGATGGGAACTGAGACCCATGGCCTTGCTGCTCTCAGGCGGCTGATAGACCTGGCGATATCCACCGAACCTACAAATAGACTCGCACACTGGCCAGTTTGAAGGTTTCCAACCAGGAAGCCAAAAACAAAACAGATCTTGAAGCACGAGATGTGGAAACGGCCAGGTGAGTAGCTCGTGCTCTGCCTTCTGAGGGAGGCTTTAATCGTTTCTAGGGGCCACCCAAAGCAAAGGGTTAATTTCCAGTATCACAAGGGGAGAAGTGTGAAGGGGTCCCCGTTGCATTGTTCTTCCACACAAACGGGAAGATGCTGCCACAAATGGGATTTCAGAGCTCACCCCCCTCCCCAGTTCCATTTTTAAGCCGGCGGTTCAAAAACGGGACCGACGTGAGATCATGGCAGCCAAAGTGACAAAGGGAACCGCTTGGAAAAAGGGTTCCTCTGAACTGACTGTGGCTCAAAATTTAGTCTTGCTTTCCAGCAAATGTGTTTTTGGTACTGTTTTTTGAGGCGCAGCCAACTGGGAATTCCCATTTGCGAGAAATAGGAAATGTAGAGCGTCTTATTGAACTGGTAAGACCAAAGGTGTTAAGCCATGGAATGAACACGAACATTCAATGGATTCATTACATGGTTGGAAGCAGGCCCTGTTCAAACCCCACACTTTCATCAATTGATCATGGTGGTCACTCGTGAAGTCATCCCAGAGCCAGGGCCTGCTCACATATTCCGCCAATGCTCTGCGCTGAAGTGGCTGGTTGAGGCAATTCCTCCCCTTGGCCAACGGCTTGCCCGTGCTTCAAAAGGCGCGGACACCTCCGGCAATTCGAAAGGGACAGATCGCCCACGTGTGGGTTTGTCTCAAAATAGGAGAACCCCACACCCCAAACCCCAAGAGGGTGGCTTTCTCGGTTCCCTATGCCAACACACCTCGCGTTCCCAAAGGCCATATCCAATGGCCTCGCTGATTGGAACCTCACCTGGGCGCTTCCCATCTCTCCAAGCGACCAGCTCCAAAAAATGCCAACCAATCACCCAGCGTGAAGATGGCGGGATCCATTCCCATGCCTGTCGCTTTTTTTTGCGTCATCCCCTCCCACAAAGGGAATTGATCCCGCCATACTTTCACCTATGGCCAAGTTGGGCCAGTGCTTGGCCCCAGATTTGAGCTAGCTCCACACATTGGCCAAGGAAATACTCGGCTTGAACTGCCGCTCGTTTTGGACACTCTACGCCGTAGGAAAATCCCTCGCGAGGATTCACCGTCAACAAGCTCGTCTTGTCCTCCCCTTAAGGGATGACTACTAGACTTGAAAGGGAATCCTTGCTTTAAAACGGATCCTTAAGCGAATGCTTGTAACACGTGTCGGCAAACCGAGAATTCACACAACAACCCGCTTCCTGAGTGGAATGACTAATTGCCACTAACATGGCTTTCCCAAAGAGTTTAAAGTCCAGAAAATCGGGGAGTGAGACAACGCATGGAGGAATTCCCCTTTTGCTCTGCGACTTGACGGAAAACACCAAGCGAGAGGGTCTTGGAACCCAAAAGATGTTTGGATCCCCCAAAAAGGATTCCTTGTCGGTTGCTTAGCATTGGGCCCATACTTGCAAAGTCGATATTTTTGGGGAGTGCCTGAGGCCAAACGGCCTTCCAGGACCTGGATCCCACAGCTGGTTGCTACACAACAAAACCAGTGAAGAGGCGAACACTGGTTCTATCACGGACTTGAGCCCCTTCCTAAATTTGGGCTTCCCGTTGCCCATCCCAGCACCTGGTCCAGTCGCAGACTGTGCCTTTTGCAGGGAAAAACACCCGCCGGCTCTAGCTTTTCCGGAGATGCAACCCAGTAGAGCCTTCGGCACAACTGTTCGGACCCTTTTTCAACCCTTCTTGGTGGTGTGTTTTCCCAAGGCAGCCTGAGGCAAAAAGGGGCACGACGAAAGGCACTGTCTTCAGCAAGGCAGGGCAAACTACAAGTCGCCAACCTGAGGCTAGGCCAAGAATGTACCGCGAATGTGTTTCATACTCTCTGGCTTTGACCAGTGGCTAAAGGGCGAGAATGAATGGGCTACAAGTCAATATGGGTGTAACCCACAGGGTAGGCGAATTCAAATGAAGCCCAGGTATGATTATTATGTCTAACGATTTAGTACATGAAGTTACGCCGGTTTAGGGGGCATACCGCGTAAACAAACGTTTTATTTATTCATTTTTGAAGTAAATGGTTCAGGAGACGTATTGAACTCGAACATGGGAATCGGACAAAAACAAACAAACACAAAAACACACACACACAAACAAACACACAAACACACAAACAAACAAACAAACAAACAAACAAAAAAAAAAAACAAACAAACAAACAAACAAACAAACAAACAAACAAACAACAATAGACAAACAAACAAACAAACCAACAAACAAACAAACAAACAAAGAAAGAAACAAAGAAACAAAGAAACAAAGAAACAAAGAAACATACAACAATAATCAAAGAAACAAATAAAGAACGAAAGACAAACAAACAAACAAACAAACAAACAAACAAACAAGCAAGCAAGCAAACAAACAAACAAGCAAAGAAACGAACCAATAAAGAAAGATATAACGAATCAAAGAAATAAATAAAAAGAACATAGATACATAAAGAAATAAATAAAGACAACACCGCAACACACATCGCAAAGCAAATAAATAAATAAAATACATATACTATATATATATATAACATATGTGTTCAAGACTACGCAGTTAGTCAGTTAGCCTGACAGCGTAGGTAACAACGATATAGGTGTTGTTGTTTCCATTGCGGCCCCACAAATGGTGGTTGGTCGTTGTTGGCTTTTCTTAAAATTGGCAAAAAAGGGCACCCTCAAAAAACACTCATAATCTTTCCCCAGCCAAAATTTGGCGAGGACTCACATGTGCCGCTCCTAGGTCGAAGCTCGCGATTCTAAGCTCGCCGCTCTTGCCCTCCTTGCTCTTGCCTCAATGGGCTAACGACGATTCCAAGGAAAATGTGGGCGTGTTGTTTTGGCGCGCAGTGGAAATCCAAAGGAACTCACGCATTTTAAGGGTTCCGGAAGCCATTTCGAAATTGCAACTCAACGAAAATGGTGAAGTATGGGGGCTTGCAACTTTCTCCCAACTTGCAATTGGTGAAACCGTCTCAGGGCTGGCCGACCTGGACAAAAGCTGGCAGAGGTCCTACTATTTCTTACAAATGCCATTTGTGCTTGCCATGCTCAGCAGGAAACCAGCTGGAAACGAAGAGAACCTGGTGCCACTGAACAGCTGGGCAGTCAGGACTGGCATCAAGCAGAACAAATAGCAAAGAACGTCTCAATTGACAGTCAGCAAGCTACTCACATCTCAGAAATGTACCAACCTGGTGCCCCAAAAGGCTGCTTTTTCTTGGTCAAAAGGCTTTGCCTGAGAAAAAAAATCATCCGGCCAAATGCTGTTTCTTCGTGTTGTTTTCGATATTTGATCGACAGAATGCAGGTTTTTTACGACCAAACACGGGCAAATGAGGCAAATGACCGAACAAAAACAACCTTCGGGGGAAAAACAGGCCAAATATGCCCTTCGACCGACAAAAAGTCGCCTTTCGGGGCTGGCCGGATGACGAAAGTTGGAACTTGCTGGTGCGCAGTAGGAACGAGGGAATGAACCTGGGGGTTCCCTGAGAGGAAACCGCAACAAGCCTATCGAACCAGTTTGCCAACCCCCCCTCCCCGCCAGTCGGCCCTCCCCCGGCCTTTGCCCTTGCCCTTGAAGCCCTGGCAGCAGCTTCCAGTAGCTCTCTCCCCAGTTTGTAACATGGGAAAGGGGCCCTCGCCCTTTGGTCTCCCGTTGAACAGGCCCGACCTTTCAGGATGTAAGTCTGAACAAACGGGACTCTTCCGGTGGCATCTGAGCGGAAACTAATATTCCGAAACCATTCTATGCGCGTAAAAACCGTGACCCAGCCAGAGATTCCAGCTACTGAGACTGGCATCCAGGGGTTGCAGAGGTATAGTGAATCAATCGAGAGGGACAATTGAAGCGCTTCCACACACCGTTGCTTCATTTGAGCAGCGCCCGCAACCTGTTAACTTCTAATTCTCCCAGAATGGCTACATGTATATATATATATAATTATGTGTGGGCCTTACAACAACTTTATAAGAACAGCCAGTAGAATAACTAAAGTGGCCAATAGAGGTTTTGGGTGCTGCTCGTGTGGGAAGCCAACTCTGTGAGCCAAGGCTCTGTGCAATGACCAAGAAATGGGCCCTCAAAAGGTTTTGTGCCAAATTCCAAGTTGCCAATGTCCAAAGTGCCAAAGCGTCTCAGCAAGAAGGGCCACTGCCACCGTGGTTGCCTGCCAGGGGTCACTATAATTGGCCCAAAAAATGTCTCCATGCCAGGACACTCACTTTAAAAGGAAACCACGATTTCTCAGCGGGCCCTGAATAGGGTTGAAACCACAAAACGAGGAAATCATGTTAACCCCGGATTCAATCCCTGGCTGATGGTGGTGTGCCCTTTGAGCGGGAATCCTTCACTTGTGTGGGTGACAACTCCCTAAAAGCGCGGGTCCTAAAAGCGCGGGTTCTACATGGCTTGATCAATATTCCTGGCCCGTCTGAGTAAGATTTCCCATTTAGTGGTTGAAATACCCCCTTTCAGTGGCTCTCCACATCCCACGTAACGGTGCTGGGTTCTCCACATCCCATGTAAAGGACCTCTTCACCCACATAGATCCGGAATCCCAGAATCCCCGCCCCTTTCGCTTTGCCTTGGCAGGCTTGCCCTTCTCGTAGCCCTGGTCCTCGCCCTCAAAGCCTTGCGAAGCGCTTGGTTCCGAGTCGGATCTGTTTTGTTCAACGGCCGCTTGCGGGAGGAACCAAACGGTTTGGTGGACCAAACAGGGCCCCCCAGAATGAGTTAGACTCGGTAGACCTCAGAAATTGGCAGGTGGCCTCATCTTCCTTTTCGTTGATGCGTCAAACATCCACCTTATGGACACACGTAATGCTTAAAGATACTGTCCGCTTGGGTGGGGAGATGTTCAAAAGGGACATGTAAGGGCCCGTGAAACTGGCTCAGCTTGAACATTCAAGCACAGGCTTGTCCCTTTTCGGGGGCTTGGGTGGGGGGTCGTGTCCGCCATTAGGCGCACTGCGTTGTGCTGACTGCACAGGTTGACATATCACAGTATTATACCACATTAAATATGCCCTGCACTGAGGTCTGGTCGTGCATGTCGTTTGGACCCAACTTTGACTCCCCAAACTTAGAATCCCTGGGCTGCCTTACGACTGCCGAGTTCCCATTTGCACCAGCGGACAATGTGGTGGGTGTTGCATGCTGGTACGGAACATGCACTCCGACAAGCGCTGCAATTGTCGATCTGAACTGTCCAGGGCATAGGCTGCCCGAGTACGAAGAGATATCACATGTGCCATGGTCAAGAGACACCTTTCAGAATACTAGGATGGTCATAACCATACGCCATTTAGTCAGGTGCGTAGACGACCATAACAAGGATTCCTAATTGACCATGACCAATCGAAGAAGTTTTGACCATGGTGCAAATAAGAACCGTGACCAGGCTCTGACAGTCTGAACGAGGGCCCTGCATCCTTGAACTGGACACACATCTTGGGTGCAGAGCGGCCACGAGTGATGCCTTTTGCAACCCAAACGATGGCCATCAGCTTTACATGTCGTCGTTTATTTTTGTTCATCCAGAAATCTCTTTCGTGCAAATGCTCAGGCAAGCAATCTGGGGGTTAAAGAAGGCAACACCCGCAGGTAACACCCCCCAGCAATCGATCTTGGCGCTGCTCGAAGCTCACATGGCTTGGCAGCGCGAAGCTCGGGGTCTACCCTGGACAAACAGTTCCAGTAATACAAACGTACGACAGCTGTCATTCTGTTCTCCCCCGATGTTTGGAAACACCCACAACCATACCGTGTAGCGCCATCCAAGGAGGCTCAAGAAATAGAAAACACTTGAAAGGCCATCTCATACCTTGGCCTGCACCTGCCCCCCTTAACCAACTTGGCGCACGCCCTTCAGCCAACATACACAGGGAAGACCCGACTCCATCAGCGTTGGTTTCAAACCCTAATGAGTCAAATGAGGGCCTGTTATGTTCGCAACAGCTGGAAACCCTTCCAAACAGAAGGATCATAGCACAGGGCAACCCCGCGCCCTCACCTCCCGTCGCCCGAAATGCGGCATTTTTGACGCGCCGAAGGCGCCGGAGGCGCCGGAACCGCCGAAGGCGCCGCCCTTCTCCGGCCCTGATTTGCCTTTGACGTCGCCCTCCTGGCCACTCTTTCCATCGCTCTGGGGTTTTGCCCGGGGGTTGGGGTTGGGAGCGGGGTGTTCGTTTTTGTTGCGTCCAAGCACATGGAACCACAACATTTCGGAAGCCATGGCTCAAGGCTCGGAAGGCACGGATTCGCCCTGGACCAAGAACTTGCCATTGATTTACACTTGCCAAGCTTGCCATTCACAATTGGACATCAGCATAGGTCCTGGGCAAAACTTCTGGTTGCTGCGGGCCCCATTTCCAGTCTCAATTGCGGTAGCGGAGCAGGTCTTGCCGAAAGATGTCTGTTTTCCGTTCGCTATCATGGCTCTGGATGGATATGTGGTTTGCCAAGGCACAGAGTAGCCCTAGACAAATATTTTTGCATGGGCCATTGTTATGGGCCATTGACTGTTCAGAAATACATACCCCATATATCCCACCTACATAATGGGTATACAGCTGTGTTGCCCTGGTTGGTTGATCAAGATCACTCTCTTGTGTTTGACGCCAGCAATCCTGAAAGGTCCCAACTCCATTGGGACTCTTCGTGCCAAGTAGGGGCCCATTCAAACAGTTTCTTAAATGGCCCCTAATTTGGAACTTGCAGATTTGTGCAGTTGAATCTATCCAAGCTTTGCCAGACACGCCCCATTGGACATCTACCAGAAACATCAGGGTGGGGGGGCGACGCTAATCCGCCACAACCCCGTTTTTGGGCACATAAACCAAGAAAGGGTAACGCGGAGGTCAAACAGGCTTGGGAACCCCTTTTTTTAAGGGAGCCCCATCTCACTGACCACGCCAGGTGCGCGTAAATGGGTCAACATTGGGACAGTCTTAGCTGGAAGCTGAGGCCAAGGGCCTCCTTGAAGCACGCGCGATAAATGAGCTACACGGATCCATCCGAACATGCGCCTCAAAAAGGAGACTCCGCGAAAGTCGATCTCGCGTTGACAAACGCAGTTGCTCCTGGATCACTTTGGGACTATCGACGGAGCCTAAGCTGATGTCAGAAGTGTTTGATGGCGAGAGTTGCCCAGCATCCTCCCTGCGTCGCGAAGGTAGGCCTGTTAAACCAACCAAAGGCATATCAAGGGCGCATCAGGGAACCAGTGAAGCAGGTGTAGTTGCAGCTGTCGCAGCTCATCGGAGGGGAATTCACACAGATGCCAGAGTCCCAGCCCGCGTGTGTCATCCAAGGCATAGGATGCTTCTCGCAAGAGTCCGCTGAAAGGATACGTACATGGCCTGCTCCCGAGATGGTGGCCACCCTCATTGAAACCTGCTGGCTGAGATCTTGATTGCGCAACAGTCACGGGCAAATCCGTTCTCAAACAAAGTGGGCTCCTCACTTTTGGATCAATATTGCGCTCTGCGGGCAAGGCAACACATGGGGGGTATTGCACTTTCTTTGCAACTGGATCAGTCTCGCCTTCATCGTTTGAGCTGCTTTCACCCCCAGGGATCGTTGCATAGCGTGCGTATGGTAAGCGCAAAAGGACTGACTGCAGGCTCACCATGGCAGAACCAGTTTGTCCATTTCATGGGGTTTGGGGCATCGTTCTCCTCACCCTTTGCTTCCCTTGGGCGTGCCCCGCTTTTCCCCACGATCTATCACTGGATACTCTTGCTTTGGGCTCCATGTTCTGCCCCAAGTGGCTCCCTGTCATCCATCCCCTTTGTATTCTCGCTTTTGGAGTTGCATCTTCTTCCCATCTATCCCAAAAGGGGGGGCTAACACCGTCAGAACATGTCTGGATCATTTTCACCCCCTCGCTTTTGGATCACTTCGGTCTGAAAGAGTCAGACGTATGGCTGACTTCGATCACCCTTGGATCACTTTCTCCCCCTGAAACAAAACACCGACCGACAGGGTGCAGAAGACTGGTCTGGAAGAGGTCCAAATTTGGGTGCTTCAGAACCATTCGGGGGCAGCGATCCAAAAGTGCAGAGGAGGCTGGGCTTGCTTGTGCCGGTCAAACGAATGAGGTACCTCTTACAGCACTTGGATCCTCCCTGTGTCCCTGAGGCATGTTGTGCTTTGTGTCGACATGTGTTCAATTCGCAACTATATATTTGAACACATTGAACATTTAGCGCGACCGAAATCCAGATTCAGCAGCAACAGCTGAGACACTACAAGGTCAAAGGTGGCTCCAAGATGGCCTTTCCAAAGATCAATGGTAACCAGCTTCGAAATCAATCAACACAGCCGCAGCGCATCCAGGAACTCCAGGCGTGACTCTTAACTAGACCGGTACGTTCTTGTCTATTGAAAGAAACGAGCGTCACTTTCCCGGACCCTAGGCCCCTCCTTGCCGCCGCCATAGCCCCAGCCTGCCTCGCAAGGGCAAACTTGCAACGGCCCGCGCAAAGTTCACGGCTGGTCTTGAGAATCTGCGTGAACAATACTGAACGCACCAATCTGGCGCAAGATGAGAACCTGCATGGGCAGGTGTGAAGCCAGAGCCAGAGTCTAAATTGGTCGAGTACAATCCCTCAATCGTGACTCCCGTGACACAATGTAGCTGCTAGAGAAGGCACGCTGCGCAAAGCATACGCGCAAACGTGTCTATACATGCATGTTCTCACGCATGAAATGTCGATGTGTGAAAAGGATATGTCGATTTATGTATAGAGAGCCAATTCAGGGATAACCAAGATAATAGATAGGCTCTTAGGTATTATCTATATATACATATGCCAGTAAATCCGGCAAAGCCGGGGGGCACACGCTTCAAAATTAAGAGCTATAGTCCCTTCTTTCTTTCTCTCTCTCTTTCGCTTCTTTCTCACTATCTTTTTGCTCCCTTCTTTGTATTGCTCTTCTTTCTCTGTCTTTCCCTTTCTCTTATCAATCTGTTTCCTTCTCCTTCTCTCTGCACCTGACCCTGCAAAAGCACTGCGCCTGATACGCAATCTGCGCGTGACGCCGTGCCTCGGAATCTGCGCCTGCCTCGGCATACGCGCGTGACCCGCTCGCATGACCCCCGCGCGAGTGACCCGCGCATGACCCGCGCCAGGCAAATTTCGAGAACGCGCGCTCCAGCATTTCGAGGGTAGCATTTCCGCGCCAGCCGGAAAAAAACTACGCCCCGCAGAGGGTCGCCTGCTCAAGCTATGCAAGTTTGAGCCTTTTCCAGAGTCATCTGGCCCAAGCACACTTCAAGCTTGCACTGGCGCAGACATGGGCTGGTTACGGGCTGGTTACGGGCTGGTTCGCAGATGCTGCACCAAGTCTCATGATCCGAAGAAACAATGGCCCTCTTTACGGTGTCCTTGCCATGAAGATTCGGAAAACAGAACCCATGATGCCAACCCCCATGTCGCACAACCTTTATCTGAAGGCTCTCAACGCTTCGTCGCAAGCAGTACCCCCTTTCTAGGTCCCTTATGTCCCTTTCTCTCTTTTGCTTTATCTTGTCATGTCTCTTTCTCTCCCTCTTTCTCTTGCTTTCTCTCTGTCACGTAATCTATACCTAACACTGCGAAAGATAGATACATTGAAAGATAGATAGATCGACAGACTAGACTAGACTACACTACACTAGGCTTAGATTGGATTGGATTGCACCAGACTAGATTAGATAAGAACCATGTATTGATTGGTTAAGGATCGGATAGGATAGGAAAGGACAAAGTAAGAAAAGATGATACAATAAAAGGAGAGAGAGAGAAAGAGAGGCAGAGAGGACAAGCAAGCAAACAAACAAGCTAGATAGAAAAACAAATAGATGGACAAATAGATGGATAGATAGACATACATGACTAGATAGACTGGTATACAATCATATATATATATATATTTTCATTTGGTTTAGATTGGGATCAAATTTCATCACGATAAACATAAAACAACACCAGACAAGATAAGATAGATATGGCTATTGAAACATTCAAACATGTGGTCAAATTCTGGAGGGCAACAGTGATGAGCCGATGTTCTGTGGTCCCCGTCGGGACCCGATGTTCTACGATTGCGGCTCCAAAACTCTATTGAATTGAAAGCTTTTGGTGGAAGCACAGAGCTGTTCTCTTGTGATTCGCAATTTGGGTGTATCTTCACCAAACATAGGGGATGAAGACATAATTTAAATATGAGCGGCGATGTGGAGTCAATGGAACATGACGCAACACCCCTAGAACAACTCAAAGTCAACACGCCAAACCAACCAAGCACAACACCCCTGAAACAAAGCAAGTGAACAACACCAACCAAAAGTCGCAACACGAGCCATGATGAATATAAACTTGTTGGTTCTCACAAGGGAATCACAAGGGTTTTGGGAATGAACCTAGGGATCCCCCCAGGGAAAAACCACAAGGGATAATTAGTTGGTTTGGGCCATTCCCTCATTCCCTGAGAGCAAGTGAAGTGTGCTTCACATGGAAAGTGGGTGAGCCCAGCCCAAACTCACCAGGTCATGTGCTTGGGCGAATCAGGTTGCGACCGAACAGAAGGTTGGACAACGACCCCATTTCCTTCCAGTGCTGCCCTCAGATCCCCCGCTCAAAGCTTGACTTTTCGCGATTTCAATGGAACAAGTACCGCTCGACTTCTCAACACAAAAAGGATCCAAGCTGGATCCAAAAAGCTAAGGAACCGGATGGCTGGCCCCAAGGAACCATCTCCTGTCCGTGTTTTTTCGGAGAGGCGTGCTGAGCCAGGGGCCCAGGAGCTCCAAGCCTCAGTCCGATCCGATCCGATGCTCCGATGCTCCGATGGCCCACCCCGGTCCGATGCTCGGAATGCAGATGGGCAAAATGCATCTGGAGGGGGTTCCTCTGAAACCATGTGGGTGCAGAATGCCCTCTGAAACCCTGGTGCAGAATTTGGCCCATGAGAGACACAATGATGTTGCAGGATTTGGGGGGCACTACAAAAGCCGCGAAGCAGGATCTGCAGAGTGGATTTGTCCAATTCCTCTGTTCCTCAAACCTGGAGGTTGTAACAATCGCAACAAAAGCGACCAAATGTTTTCAGCAGCGCTGAAAAAGCAATGGCATTGGCAATCCTCTGGACACGACCATGGAACCCATATTCAAAGAAGAACCTTGATGAGGGACCTCCCCAACGGTCAATCATGAGAGCTTCTGGTCTTCTAACGTTGACCCCAGATTCGTAAACCGTTTCTGTGAATCCGCCGACCCCATGCCTGGTCCAGAATGGACCATGCTTTCGGCATGGGGGCGGTGTGTTCTGTGTTGCTTTTGTTGATATGCTTTCTATAAGTTTAATGTGAATATGATTATGTATATATATATATTTATATATTTGTATAACCTATATGTCCCTTGGGGCGGCCCTTGGGGCTGGTTTCTACGTCGGCTGGATTTCTGGATTTCTGGATCTCTGGATTTCTGGATTTGGGATTTCCCCCTCCCCCCCCCCCTCCCCTCCCTCCCCCTCCCCCTCCCCCACCCCCCCCCCCCCATCCCCCCTCCCCCCCCCCCCCTCTCCCCCCTCTCCCCCCTCCCCCAGTCGTAGTCTTCCGTAGTGTTCCGGTCTTCCGTAGTCTTCCGGTTCCCGGTAATCTTTCTTCTTCCCGTAGTCTTCCGTGGTCTTCCGCTTCTTCCCGTAATCTTCCGTAATCTTTCGGCTTCTTCCAGTAGTCTTCCGTAGTCTTCCGGCTTCTTCCCGTAATCTTCCGTAGTCTTCCGTAGTCTTCCGGCTTCTTCCCGTAGTCTTCCGAAATCTTTCAAGCTTCTTCCCGTAAATTTCCGCAAAGTCTTCCGTAATCTTCCGGCTTCTTCTCCTAGTCTTCCGATACTGTTTCGGGACCAAACAACGCGCGTGTCCTGGGCTTTCGGGCTTCTTCCCTAGGCTTCGGGTAGTCTTCCCCCACCCCTCCGCCCCCCCCCTGTGTCTGTCTATGTCTGTCTACGTATCTGCATCTGTCTTCGTGTCCGCGAAGACCCCCCCTGCCCCTGCGTGTCTGTCTGTGTCTCTTTGTGTCTGTCTGGGTCTGTCTGCGTCTGTCTTCGTGTCCTCTCTGTCTCTTTGTGTCTGTCTGTGTCTGTCTGTGTCTGTCTACGTATCTGCGTCTTTCTTCGTGTCCCCCCCCCCCCGCGTGTCTGTCGGTGTATTTGTGTCTGTCTGGCTCTGTCTGCGTCTGCCTGCGCATCTGCGTCTGTCTTCGTGTCCGCGAAGACCCTCCCCCCCCGCTGCGTGTCTGTCTGCGTGTCTTTGTGTCTGTCTGTGTCTGTCTACATATCGCGTGCTTTCTCTCGTCCCGGGCCGAAATTCTAAGGTGTGTGGGGGCGGCGGAACCAGGCCGCAGGCCATTAAATAGGTCTTCCCCTCCCAAAGTGATGAATCCCCTTCAGCACACAGCAAATCGCGCCGTGCATGCTACAAGCTCAGCTGCTCTTGCACCTGGCTGCAGTCTCCACCGCAGTCCGCACGACCCTAGGTCACAACTGTCCCAGAGATAAGAATGGCAGCAAAAGCACCGCTTCTAGTTGCTTGGATGTGCTGGACATTGATCAGCTGCTCTTGCACCTGGCTGCTAGGTCAAAATTGCCCCCCAAAAAATAGACAGCAACAGCACCGCTTCTAGTTGCTTGGATGTGCTGGACATTGATCAGCTGCTCTTGCACCTGGCTGCCAGGTCACAATTGCCCCCCAAAAAATAGGCAGCAACAGCACCGTTTCTAGTTGCTTGGACGTGCTGGACATTGATCAGCTGCTCTTGCACCTGGCTGCTGTCTCCACCGACGCAGGACGACCCTAGGTCACAACTGTCTCAGTGATAAGAATGGCAGCAAAAGCACCGCTTCTAGTTGCTTGGATATGCTGGACATTGATCAGCTGCACTTGCACCTGGCTGCTAGGTCACAATTGCCCCCCAAAAAATAGGCAGCAACAGCACCGTTTCTAGTTGCTTGGACGTGCTGGACATTGATCAGCTGCTCTTGCACCTGGCTGCTGTCTCCACCGAGCAGGACGACCCCAGGTCACAACTGTCTCAGTGATAAGAATGGCAGCAAAAGCACCGCTTCTAGTTGCTTGGATGTGCTGGACATTGATCAGCTGCTCTTGCACCTGGCTGCTAGGTCACAATTGCCCCCCAAAAAATAGGCAGCAACAGCACCGTTTCTAGTTGCTTGGACGTGCTGGACATTGATCAGCTGCTCTTGCACCTGGCTGCTGTCTCCACCGACGCAGGACGACCCTAGGTCACAACTGTCTCAGAGATAAGAATGGCAGCAAAAGCACCGCTTCTAGTTGCTTGGATGTGCTGGACATTGATCAGCTGCTCTTGCACCTGGCTGCTCCCCCAAAAATAGACAGCAACAGCACCGTGTCTAGTTGCTTGGATGTGCTGGACATTGATCAGCTGCTCTTGCACCTGGCTGCGGTCTCCACCAAAGCAGGACGACCCCAGATCACAACTGTCTCAGAGATAAGAATGGCAGCAAAAGCACCGCTTCTAGTTGCTTGGATGTGCTGGACATTGATCAGCTGCTCTTGCACCTGGCTGCTAGGTCACAATTGCCCCCCAAAAAATAGGCAGCAACAGCACCGTTTCTAGTTGCTTGGATGTGCTGGACATTGATCAGCTGCTCTTGCACCTGGCTGCTGTCTCCACCGCAGTCCGTACGACCCCAGGTCACAACTGTCCCAGAGATAAGAATGGAAGCAAAAGCACCGCTTCTAGTTGCTTGGATGTGCTGGACATTGATCAGCTGCTCTTGCACCTGGCTGCTAGGTCACAATTGCCCCCCAAAAAATAGGCAGCAACAGCACCGTTTCTAGTTGCTTGGATGTGCTGGACATTGATCAGCTGCTCTTGCACCTGGCTGCTGTCTCCACCGCAGTCCGTACGACCCCAGGTCACAACTGTCCCAGAATAAGAATGGAAGCAAAAGCACCGCTTCTAGTTGCTTGGATGTGCTGGACATTGATCAGCTGCTCTTGCACCTGGCTGCTGTCTCCACCGCAGTCCGTACGACCCCAGGTCACAACTGTCCCAGAAATAAGAATGGAAGCAAAAGCATCGCTTCTAGTTGCTTGGATGTGCTGGACATTGATCAGCTGCTCTTGCACCTGGCTGCTGGCAATTGCCCCCCAAAAAATAGGCAGCAACAGCACCGTTTCTAGTTGCTTGGACGTGCTGGACATTGATCAGCTGCTCTTGCACCTGGCTGCTGTCTCCACCGCAGTCCGCACGACCCCAGGTCACAACTGTCCCAGAAATAAGAATGGAAGCAAAAGCATCGCTTCTAGTTGCTTGGATGTGCTGGACATTGATCAGCTGCTCTTGCACCTGGCTGCTAGATCACAATTGCCCCCCCCCAAAAAAGGCAGCAACAGCACCGTTTCTAGTTGCTTGGACGTGCTGGACATTGATCAGCTCCTCTTGCACCTGGCTGCTCTCTCCACCGCAGTCCGCACGACCCCAGGTCACAACTGTCCCAGAGATAAGAATGGAAGCAAAAGCACCGCTTCTAGTTGCTTGGATGTGCTGGACATTGATCAGCTGCTCTTGCACCTGGCTGCTGGCAATTGCCCCCCAAAAAATAGGCAGCAACAGCACCGTTTCTAGTTGCTTGGACGTGCTGGACATTGATCAGCTGCTCTTGCACCTGGCTGCTGTCTCCACCGTGCGCAGGACGACCCCAGGTCACAACTGCCCCACAGATAAGAATTGCAGCAAAAGCACCGCTTCTTGCTGCTTGGATGTGCTGGACATTGATCAGCTGCTCTTGCACCTGGCTGCCAGGTCACAATTGCCCCCCAAAAAATAGGCAGCAACAGCACCGTTTCTAGTTGCTTGGACGTGCTGGACATTGATCAGCTGCTCTTGCACCTGGCTGCTGTCTCCACCGACGCAGGACGACCCTAGGTCACAACTGTCTCAGTGATACGAATGGCAGCAAAAGCACCGCTTCTAGTTTCTTGGATGTGCTGGACATTGATCAGCTGCTCTTGCACCTGGCTGCTGTCTCCACCGAGGTCCGCACGACCCCAGGTCACAGCAGCCCGAGATTCAAGAACGGCAGCGAAAGCTGTGTCATTTGCTTGGATGTGCTTGACGTTCCTCAGCTGCGCTTGCAGCAGGCTGTCTCCACGGCATTCTAGATCTCCCTAAATCACAACTGCCCCAGATTCAAGAATGGCAGCAAAAACACGGTTGTTGCTTGGATGCTCTGGACGTTTCTCAGCTGCTCTTGCACCCGGCTGCTGTCTCCGCCACAGTATGGACCCCAGGTCACAACAGCCCCAGATTCAAGAACGGCAGCAAAAGCACTGCCCATTGCTTGGACGAGCTGGACGTAACCTGCTCTTGCACCTGGCTGCCATCTCCGCCTTCTGATGGACCACCCCAGGTCACCACAGCTCCAGATTCAAGGATGGCAGCAAAAGCAAAGTTAGTTGCTTGGATGTGCTGGACGTTCCTCAGCTGCTCTTGAACCCGGCTGCTGTCTCGGCCGCAGCGTGGATTACCCCAGGTCACCACAGCTCCAGATTCAAGGATGGCAGCAAAAGCAAAGCTAGTTGCTTGGATGTGCTGGACGTTCCTTAGCTGCTCTTGCACAAGGCTGCTGTCTCCGCCGTAATCAGGATCAGCCCCAGATTCAAGAATGGCAGCAAAAGCTCTGCCAGTGGCTTGGATGTGTTGCACGTTCGCCAGCTGCTCTTGAACCTGGCTGCTCTCTCCGCCGCCTTGTGGATTACCCCAG